AGTTGATTTTTGTGTCCCTTTACCCTTCCTCTTTCCCCCTCCCTTTCTCCCCTCCCAAGAAATATCACATGTTCTCATTTATTTGTGGGAGCTAAAAATAAATAAACATGTTATGTGTATTTTAACACAGTTAAAGAAAAAAGAGATGTTCTGCTACAGGATGGAGAACAAGCCACAAGAGGTGAGAGCCAAAATAGAGAATCGCCCAGGAATGCTGCACAGAGCCGTGGACGGATGACAGCAGCCACAGATACGGTAAAGCTGGGCAGACTCCAGGCCTCCCCACAGGCCTGGGTGGGGGAGGGGAATGAGGGAGATTCCACCTTACCTTTGAACATGCTAAATTTGCACTCTTGTGAGATGTGCAAGGGCAGATGTCACCTCAGGGAATGTGTTCAGGCCACACCTTGCTGTCATTCGAACCCTTTCTTTCCTCACACCCCATATCCAATTGCTCAGCCAATCCTGCCTGCATTTCCTTCAACTCCCCACCTGCTGTGGATCCCCCAGCCCAGGCCACTGGGACCTCTCCAGAACCTCACGAAGCCCCTTGCTGTCCTCTTCTCTTCCGTCCTCATCTCCATCTCTCTCCCTACAGCAGCCAGAATGATCCTGCACCACCAGCCCCTGCTCAGACCTCGTATACTCTCACCCCAAGCCCTTGTCTCTGACCCCCATGCACTCAGCTCCAGCTTCACCCCAAGCTGAGCCCACCTCAGGGCCTTTGTATCACATCCCCCTGCCTGGAATGCTCCTCCCCAGGTGGCCTGTGTCATGTCCTGACATGTGTTTGTTTTGCTTATTTATCTCCCCTCTAGGGTGTAAGCTACATGAGGTTGGGTTTCTGTTTTGTTCTTTGCTGGACCCCTCGCCTAGAGCAGCATTGGCAGAGTCAGTGCTCAGAGGCATCTGTCAGATGAGTGAGTGAGTGAACTTTCCATCTGCTCCCCTTTCCTCATGCCTGCCATTCTCAGCATGTTGGCTCTTATCTTCCTGCCTCATGGCTGCCATGTGGCTGCAGCTGTGGTATTGCATCTGCATCCCGGGCAGAGGGGGCTGCCCGGCTACGCCCATCCCCTTGCAGCAGGGGAGCAGATGCCTTCCCAGGACTCCCAGCAGACTTCCACTTGGGTCTCATTGTCTAGAGTGAGGTCAGTATCCACCCCTGTGGCCGCCTTGTTTTGATGGCAGAGAAGCATGTTTTGCACAAGATCCTCACCCCTCCAGTGAGGTCCTCTGTACCAGGAGCAGACATGCATCTCCTTTGCACCAGAGGGTCGTAGGGCTGGTGCTGGCTTCCACTTGAGGTCATGTTAGTTACAGCTTGTTCTCTATGCAGTGTGACTAAAGAAACCTGCCAAGCTGGAAAGCTTAGCTCAAAGCAATTTCTAAATTTACCAAAAGAAACATGAAACTGAAAACAAGAGCACTCATTATGGCTCAATGTTCCTCCCTGAGGACCAGGTGCTGAGAGGCCTCAGAGCCACCCTGAGTCCTTGCACCCAATGCACACACCTGCTCTCACCTTTAGCCTACCCTACGAAGGAAGACCAAACCTGTGGGGACAGGCAGCCAAGTCTGATGTCTGCACTACAATCTCCCACTTCTCCTGGTTCAAAACCTCCCCTATGGGAGGAGGATCTTCCCTGGCACAAGCCTCACACTTCTCCTCTTGTGGAAGGGGACACATGTTTGTTTTGATGAGCAAATCCAGCTCCCATTGCTGCTATGTGCACAAATTCTAAGGGTTTGATGAGAAAATATGTTACAAGAATGAGTCCCTTACCTACTATGAAAAACAAGGTTGTTTTAGTGCCACTCAAAGGGAAACTGCTGCAGAGATGCTTCTATTATAAAGAAACATCCCTGTTTAACAAGAAAACTGGAAGCATATGTGAAAGTTAGAAAACAGAGTCACATTATAGTTTTTCTGGCTTAAGGAAAAAAATAGCAAGAGCACTTCATGTGGAAAAATGCTTGATGGTGAGTGAAACCAAGTGCCCCTCTGTCTGTATCACAGCAGTTCACAAGCCACACACGATTCAGATCTCTGGCAGGAGCCAGAGATCAGAGGAGGCTGCCTCTATCTAGCCTCAAGTTCTCTCTTAAAATGCAGCAAATTCTTGTAAGGAAGTTTGGCAGTAAAAACACCAGGACTCAAATTCTAAGTATCACTGAAGGGCCTGATTTCAACAGCAGACTGAGCAGGAGGCCACCACGCACCAGCACCGTCTCCTGGATGATGATAAGGGGCAGCAGACGTCTCCAGAGCATTTGAAAAGACAGCCTTGTGCGCAGGTGCTAGATACACACTTTCTGCTCTACAAACCTCCCCAGGGCTCTGCTTCAAAGCAGTTTATGCAGATTTAACAAATAATTCCACCCAAAGTCCTTTGAAGTTAGTTACATCTTCCAGTGCCCTAATTCTTTCAAATGTAAAATGTCATCCACATTTCTACATCATACAAAGACAGAACACACGTACTAAAATTGTTAACAACCCTCCACAAAACTGGCACAATGTTTTACGTGTGGTGTTTTACAGCAGGCAGGAGAGAGCCAGACATGGAGGATGTGGCTGGGGCAGGTGCCATGTGAGATTAGCCCCCTCCCCGCCCCTTGGCCGGCAGATCCTTCCCAGAAGCTGGGTTGCAGTGGGGAGGATCTGCTGGCTGAGAGGAGGGAAAGGGAGGGGGCTTTGACTATCCCCCCCACCCCACCCCCCCGTCTCTAAGTCACAGGAGCCCATGGAGCGCTGTTTACCACACTGGCCATAACCCAGGCGACACTGTCCGATGAGGCCTGCCTTGGCCTTCTCCAGCTGGACTGCGACGCAGCCACAGTAGGGGCTGGGGATGAGGCCAGCCTCCCAAGCAAAAGACCCTGGTCCAAGGGTGCTCCTGCTGGGCAAAGAACGCTGCCAACTCACCACCCCGCCTCCTTGCCCCGGGAGTAAAATGCGGATAACAATAGAAGTCCTTATCTCTTAGGCTGCCTGAGGATCAAATAAAACAATACATTTGGAATGATTCTGAAAGCAAGAGTGTAAAGCATTTGCGAATGAGAAGAATGGTGATTACACTAGATGCCTCTTGACTGACCCACCACCACTTAACTCAGTCGGCCATCAACCAGTGCTGTCGGGTCCTGAGGTTGCAAACCAGGGACAACTGCAGCTGGAGAGAGGGCTGGACTCCCAGACACCTGGGGCTTTCTTCCCACCAGGTGAGCTGTGTGTGCTAACTCAGAACCGCCGCCAAATGTCCCCAGACCTTTTTATCTCAGCTCTTCTTGTTATAATTATTAGTGAAATGAGAGCAAAGAGAAAAGGTTGTTTCTAAGAAAACTGTGCTTTGGAAAGACTCAGTGAAGTCTGGTTGCAGGAAAAAAAAGTTGCCATTGAATTAGGTGTTGGCAAGAGAAGTGTCACGTGGGAGAACGTTGTTTCAGTCTAGACCGCAGAATCTAGATTGTTATACAAGCGTCTCTAGACGGCAGACGGAACATTGTGGGTGCGACATATGCAATGAAATGGAAGAGGACCCCAACCAGCATCACCAGTTTGACAAATTGGTATACATTGAAGTTTTCAGTTACAATGAAATATTTCAGGCATTGGTAACACTCTTAACGATCTCCCGTGTTACACATCTTTTCCAGTTAACCGGCGATTACTGGTTTCATTGCCCTGGAACAGAATCTTCTCCTGATGGGCGTGGTTCTGGGATATCCGTGCTCCGGCCGAAAAATTTCATAGTATTTTATGATTATGGTAAAATACACATAAAAATTCTACCCTTTAAAGTGTACAATTCAGTGGCGTTAAGTACACTCACAACGTTGTGTAACCATCATCACTATTCAGTTCCAGAACCTTTTCGTGCCCCAAAGGAATCCCCCCACTCATCAGTAGTCACTTCCCCGCTCCCTGTCCCCCCTGCCCCTGGCTACCGCTGATCTACTCTCAGTCTCTGTGGATTTACCTATTCTGGATTTTTCACATATGAAACCATGCAGCATTTGCCCTATTGCATCTGGCTTCTCTCATGGCGTTTTATATATTTTAAACTAAATGCAATTAGAATTGATATCTTGAGATCTTTTGGAAATTTCTCATAGACCGGCCTTCGGGCACTGAGAACCTTGCGTAGGGCGCGATCTCCGCGACTCTCGGGAGGGTTTCCAGGGTCTGGAGCTCTGGAGTCGGCTCTCGCAGCCAGGCCTGGGGGGCGGAGGGGTCTGGCGCAGCCCTCGTCGCCCGGTTTCGTGCCGCTACTCCCGGCACCAACGGATCTGGGGTCCAAGGACTCTGTCCTCCACAGGACTTACAATTTACTTGTCCTCAGAAGAGTCGCCCCCCCGCCACCCGTCCCCACACAGGTCGCTGGGCCAGTCCTAGGGCATCGGTGAGTGCGGGGGCGGGGCGCACACCCGCCGGGATCCTCCACCCCGCTGGGCCTTTGCGTCCCTGTCTTTAAATGGGGTGGGGGCTGCCCATACATGCCAGACCCTTTTCTCCCAGTTCCTGAGCCGTGACTTCGGCACCCCCAACCCTGCCTCTGTGCTCACCCTGGAAACCCAGCCCTGGTCCGCCGCGCGGGGTAGAGGAGACGCAGGACGAAAAACCCCGGAGACCCTGGCTCGTCCTTCCCAGAGAGCGAGCGACCCCAGGCCGATCCAGGCCTGAACGAGGCTTCGTACTGTCACGGTTAAAACTCCCCTGCGGCGTTTTCAGGGGTGAGGGCAGGGGATCTTCAAATGAAATCCATCCTCTCCAGGCCAGTTAACTGGGCGTTTGATACCCTGGTTGTCAGGGGACGCGGGGGCCTCAGGATTCGATACTCCCCAACTCCAGCCGCTAGGGAGGGCCACCGACTGGGGGACCGGCCCGGGCTCGGGGCCCGCGGGAAGACGCAGGGTTTGTCAGCCCGGCCACAGCCACTGCCACACCTTCCCCCACTCCAAACCCTCGACCCCAGATGCGCTTGGGCCCCACGTACCTCTTCCGCACCGGCTTTTTTCTCTTCTTCACGGCGTACTTGCCCCCGGTGGACAGCATGGTGTCTGCAGGCGGCCACCTCCCCTCCCGGCAGCACAAAGGGGGCGCAGGACGTGGCCCCTTCGGCGTGGGCCGGGGGCGCAGCCTCCCAGCGCCCGGCAGGGTGGGAAGGTGGGGCCACCCCCGCCGGGAAGGCCGCCTTCGGGTCCCGGTCCACGCCCCGGGACGCACAGCCGGAGGTCCCCGGCCCGGAGGTCCGGGCGCGCCCCACCCGGCACGCAGCTAGTCGCCTCCTCCCCGCGTGACCAAGCAGACCCACCGCCCGCCCGCTGTACCGTCCCGGCAGCACAAAGGGGGCGCAGGACGTGGCCCCTTCGGCGTGGGCCGGGGGCGCAGCCTCCCAGCGCCCGGCAGGGTGGGAAGGTGGGGCCACCCCCGCCGGGAAGGCCGCCTTCGGGTCCCGGTCCACGCCCCGGGACGCACAGCCGGAGGTCCCCGGCCCGGAGGTCCGGGCGCGCCCCACCCGGCACGCAGCTAGTCGCCTCCTCCCCGCGTGACCAAGCAGACCCACCGCCCGCCAGGCGCCGCCCCCTGCGCCCGCCGGGAGCCGGACCCTGGAAGAGTCTGCACCGACCTCCTTCTAGGAAGGGAAGGCGAAGGGGCTCGGCGGCGGGAGGCGCGGGATCCTGGAGCTGCCGGCGGCCGAGACGCACGTCTGAGGGGGTCGCCGGGCGCGGGCCTCGCGCTGAAGCGTTAGGAGCTGCGGCGCGAGATCCGTCGGTTTGCCCCCGGGGGGCTCAAGATCGGACGGTTTCCCCCTGTGGGGGCTTTCTGTCTAGACAAATATTGGCTTCCCCATCTGTAGGTGTGCGCGACACTCGCGAGTAGGGACAACACTAGGCTAATCTGGAAGCCCGCGCGACAGTGGACGACGGAGGAGTCACTTGGAAGGAGTTGGGAGAAGTCCTTGTCCCCACGAGCGAACCCTTCTCTCCGTGTGTCCTTCGGTCAATAAAATACCCAGACTTCCAGCCGACTCCCTTCTCACGCGGCGTCCGCGCCGCAGAGCTCCCCTTTCTCTGGGAAGGGAGGTCCCCGGGGCGTCTGGAGAGAAGCGTCCTCGGGCGCGAGCAAGGACCGCGAGGCGCCCTTTGAGCGCGTGGCGGGGCGGGGACGTTGGTGCGGAGAGGACCCGCCCGGGCCAGGGCGCCGAGCGCTCGGGCCGCCTCTCGCGGTGGCCTGCGCAAGGACCCTGCTTGGGACAGTCTGTTCCAGCCCATCCGCAAGGACCCGCTGCGGTCGGACGCAGGACGCGGATAGGCGTCGACTCCCTGGACGCGAAGGCTGCGCGGGTGCTGCCTGTGTCCGGGAGCCTCGACCTACGGCGACTTCTGCCGGAGGCGTGGGTGTGTGTGACGTGCGCCGGGCGCTTTGGGGAGCGGGGTGTTGTGTAAACGGAAATGCCTCTGTTTCTTTCCACACCCGGGAGCACAGGTGAGACGCGTTGCTCCAGGGACAGCCTCTTTGTTCTCCAGGCAGCTGTGTGTTTAGGTCATCCCAGGGCTCCTGGTTTTGGATCTGAAACTGCTCCCCTCGGCGTAGGGATGTGCAAGAAGGGCGTGTATTTTCACTAGCGCCCTAGTGTTCGTAAAATGGAAAGTAACCAAGGACATTCTTTAAACTCAGTAATAAAATGCTTAATGAATCTAGCTTCTTCAGAAAGTACAAGAAACATCTAAGTGTTTTCATGTCAGCATCAGATTCCTACTTTACGTTTCATGAGATGTATCAGAGCACCGAGGACAAAAACGTCGCCGTGACAGACGCGGCGGCGCATCTGCGTCTTGCCAGTGACTTTGCAGACGTCAAAAACAGAGAGGACCCAAGTTATCCAAAGCCAAGTCAGCCAACTCTTCACTGAAGTGGGAGGAGTTCGGGGAGGTGGCAGGAAAGGGGCCTCCTGCCCCGGACCCGCGGTGCCGGCGCGGCCCCTGCACGCCCGCCGGAGACCCCACGCAGGGCCCCGAAGTCCCGGTGTCCGAGGAGCCCCGCGTCCGCCCAGCCCCACTCGCCCCGCTCTCTGCGCATCCCCCTCCGTCCTGCTCTTCGCGGGTGAACGCCAAGGCTCAGCCCAGCAAAACCGGGGCAGGCATTTCGGAGCCTGGGCCTTGACGAAGGACGGTGACTGGGGTCCGGGGATGGAAAACTCCGCGCCAGGGTCCAGTTGAGCCGCTTCCTGGCAACCGCACTGGGACCAAGTCCGCCTCCCCTCGCTGGGCCGCAGGTCGTTTATTTCTAAACCGAGGGTGCTGACGCGGTGGTCCTCTACGATACCTCCTCAAAAAGTGTTTTCCAAAAATCTTGCTTCTTGATTCATTGATGTCTTCATTCTCAGTCACTCGAGTTCAAATAATGGTTCCTGAAAGCCCTGTGTTGTGTCATACAGAGTCTGTTCCCTGCTTAGTTCTTGAAGACAGATAACGAAGATAATGTGTTTATTTGGGGTTGTTTTAAAATTATTTTTTATTATTTTAACAAAGATAATGTGAACATCAAACTTTTGGGCTTTGTAACAGGGAAAACTCCTAGTAATAACTTGTTAGATGAGGGGTGTAGGTCTCTCAAATCAACCAGGATGCCAGCTTTATTTTATGATCGGATTAAGGTATATCCTTGAGCTTTTGACTTCTCCAGAACTTTGATTTATCTGAAACCATAGTGTTCATTATTCAGCAAGGGTGTCATGACTTGGGGCCCAGCACTCTTGGTAGGAAGCCATCGCTGTGTTGGAGTGTATTGGCTGTTTACCGAGGTCAGCAGTGAGGTGGTGCAAGACACACAGAATTGCTTTCAAAAAAATTGAAAACATCATAAAGAGTTCACATATACCAGACACCCATTTCCCCTATTATCAACATCTTACAGTAAGTAGTATGTTGCATTTATTACAATTAACGAACTAAAATGACACTGAATCATTAAGTAAGGTACATACTTTATTTATATTTCTTTAGTTTTTACCTAATGTCATTTTTTTCTGTTCCAGGATCCCATCCAGGACACAACATATTGTTGAGTCATCACATCCCCTTAGGCTCACCTTGGCTGTCACAGTTTCTCAGATTTTCTTTGTTTTTGAAAACCGTGACATTGAGGAGTACTAGGTAGGGTTTTGTAGAAGGTCCTTCTCTTGGAATTTGCCTGGTGGTTTTCTCCTAGTTAGATTAGGGCTACGGGTTTGGGGGAGGAAGGTCACAGAGGTGCAGTGCCACTTTCATCACATTGTGTCGAGGGTAGATACAACTGGCATGACTGGTCCCTGTTGATGTTGACTTTGAACAGCTTGCTGAGACGGTGTTTGGCACATTTCTTCACCATGAAGTTACTCTCCCCGGCCCTTACCATGCTGTACTCCTTGGAAGGAAGTCACGATGTACAGCCCACAGTCAAGGAATGGGTAGTTACGAAGCCTCTCATTGAGGGTGGCGTGTCTACAGAAATGATCTGGTATTCTTCTGCATGGGAGATTTATCTACTCTCTCTCATTCAATATTAAATAATTTACTTCTATCAGTATGAACTCATGAATATTTGTTTAATACTTTGGATTATAATCAAATATTTTTATCTATTTTGTTCCTCACGTTGTCCCAGTTTTGGCCATGGGGTTTGCTCCTGTGTCTCCTTCACATACTCCCACAACGTAAGTTGCTTTTTTTTTTAAGCACTTAATAGTTCAATATTGAATGAAAATACAATGTGAGGAAGATTACTTGATAAAAAGCAACACACGTATTTCTGGAGACAAATCAAGAAGTTACTCGCATACAAACAAGAAGTTACTCGGATTCAAAATTACTTTTCCAGGTCCAAGCACAGTTTTGAAAACGGCAGCAATACAATAAAAGTCTTATTTTCAACACACAATTGTTGCCGTTGGAGAACAGAGGTCAGTTAAGCAAAGCCTTTGGCTGAAACAAGGAAAGCACTTATGAAGACATCAAGCTAGTCCAGGAGAAAGTTTATTAAGTCATGATTTAAGGCAATATCACTGGATGCAGAAGGGGTGGGGGGCTGGGAAATTTCATTTGACATTATAAGTATTGTGATGTAAAAACTCTAAATAGACTAATGGTTCATTGATGATAAGTTTTTAGTTGACAGTTCAGCAGGTGTTGCTGCAGAAGATAAGATATTTACTGCATAAAACCAGCAAAAAATGGTATTTTTTTTGAAAAATTTTGTTTATTATTCTAACACCTCTGGTATTGTGGATGTTCATGTGGAAGACAAAGTCACGGGACAAATGCTCAAGGATAGGACGTAGACGGAAGAGAGAAAACACAGATGTCAGAAACACAGGCCACGTAAAGACGTTAGGGAAGACAGGAAAGGTAAAGCAGACTTGGTTAAACAGTGGTTAAAAGGTAAAACAGTGGTTAAAAATGTGAAGGAAACCCGCAATATTGTGATGCCGCAAAAGCTCAGTATAGAAGAACTTCATAACTAGAATTAAAATAGTGGTGTGTAGTTGATAAATTTGTTCGGTAAAACAAATAAGACAATTGATATAAAATGTCTCACACATATCAAATAATCAACAAATATTTGGGCAAATCCTCTTTCTCTGCAAAGAATAATTGAAGATATAAGGATTCATATCATGTTTTGGACAGTAGAATATTATAATAGAATAGATAATAGAATAAAGTAGAAGGTTGATTGTATAAAACCATATATATATATTTCTTATGTAAAACTTAGAAGGTTTATAGTAGAGTTTTTAGAGAAACTTTGCTGTAACATGCAACAGACTAAAGAGGAATTAAATAAGGTCAGAAAAATGATAACATTTTAAATAAAAGAGACTGACTGAGTACCAGATCGAGGTTGAGAGAAAATGAGGTAATAAACATAAATACCAAAGTTCTAAACATAAAATAGCTGAGTTCATTTAATGCTGAGTTTGATCTTCTGTATTTGATGTCAGTATCTACCTTAAGCCTTTCTTTTCTATTATGTAGTCTATTATATGTGATATCATGATACCATAAAAAGCA